CTGTACGGCTCTCTCTTTCTTTCACTCTGTCGCCATCTCCTTCTTGCTGTTGTTGTTGTTGCTGTTGCTGCAGGTAGACTGCGCAGGTGAACAGGTTTGTTTTTGTATCAAAATGTCCAAACGCTGTTGCACCTTTTAATATTAATAATAATAAAATGAGAAGCAAGAAACAAAAAGGCAATAACAACAACTGGACAAATTGACTTGATTAACTAAGTGACTTGGGAATACTCTTAAATGGAACTGAGATTTATTAAGCTGATACCAAATCCTAAATTAATCTATGTATGTAGTCTAAGAAAAGAATAGAAATTCTATATTCAAGATTATCGTTCTGAAATTACTTACATTTGATCAATAAAATACAGATATACTTAGCATACCTTTATAATACCCAATTGGTTATCCGATACTATAAAAATATAAACGAATTTTCTAAAGGTTGCAATAATTCTGGATTTGAAATAATACTGAATTTAAGAAAATGTTAAATAACCTTTTTTAATGTTATTTTAACTTTTTTCTAATTTATAACATTCCTAACTTTTTCAATGTATCCGTTGGTCAAGAAAGGGTATAGAAGTGCTCCATTTGCAAGCGCATGCGTGACAGTGACTTGGGGTCCGTGTCGCTGCCCCTTCCCTCCCCTCGTGATACAAACCCCCTGCCCCCTCGAAACCCCTCTCTTCGAGATGCTGTAAAACGGCGACAACAGTAAAAATATTGAAATATTGTCAATCAAGGGGACTAACATGGCGAGAGGGAGGGATTGACCAGAGGGGGGATTTCGTGAGTTGAGCGACAGAGACAGTCGCGTTCTATCTCCCCGATAAGTGTCACTAAAAGTGTCGCTATGCCGACGAAACGCACTGTACGGCAAATAAAGTGAAAAATTAAAATAAACTAAAGGAGTAGCGAAAAAAATGTTAAATCAAAAGGGGAAAAAACCAAAAAAAGAAGGAAAAAAACGAGATAAAATATGTTTTACAGCTCAGAAACTTAATATGATCGGGTAAAGTGAAAGTAAGCAGAGCTATATAAGATATATACGGAGTGTGGGCATACATATATCTTGGGTTGGGTTGAAAGCGTGTGAGTGCGTGTGACATGCGCATTGACCGCGAACACTCCGATCAGAAGGCTAAAACCCGAAGGTTATCCTTGTGTATGGAAATTTCACAAACTGCATTCATTTCAGACAATTTGTGGGGTTTCCGCATCGCAATGAGGAAAAAGTCCCTGCACTGAGCTACAAAACTGGGGTGTGGAAAAAAGTTAAAAAAAGCGAAAACAAGAGAATAAGCTAGTTCCATTCACGCGAGATCTACATAAATAGGTTGGGGGAACTTTTCAGCTATGCAAATGTCAAAGTTTAAATTCGAAACGAAGCGATTTCGTCATTAATTATTATTAATTTATTTCACGGCCATCAAATATTATTGCACTTTAAGCTTCGCTTGGATACGAATTTGATTTCCAATTTACGTAGGAGATTCTATTTTTATAACTTTATTAAATGTCAAAGGGTAATTTGTATGAGAAAGGAAATGCAAATGACGTCTTATCAATTTAGAGATATTTTATGGATTAGACATCTGCCGTTGTTTAGCAAATTAATAATAACAAGAATAACAAAGGATTATGGTAATACGGTCTTTCAGTAAATATAAAAAGGAAATTACATATTTTTAGCTGCCTATAAATTAAACCGAACATTACTTAAATGTTAAAGACAATATAAATACTTAAGTTCGTGTTGCCCATTAATATTTTCTTGAATTAGTCTTTATACTTAGAGTCTTCTAAAGATTAACGATTACTTTAATCCAGAGAATTGCTTTCGTTTTCCTCTGTGTTTTTAATCGAATAAAACACTTGAATTGGCAATTAAAGAAATTATACGAATTTATGCCGCTTTGGGGCGCGGTTGCATAAGTCTTCGTGCGGCTAAATAATGGATAATGCATAAACAATAAAACAATTTTATTGCCAAATGGCGAGAATAATAAAATCGTACATCGTACATTGCTTTGCACTCAACTCAACCGAATAATCTGGCTAATTCGGGGAATCATAAAAACTTTATAAGCCACTTCTCTAGCCCGTGGCTGCAATTTAATTTGCAAATGCAATTAATGGAGCTTTTGTCAATGGAGCTTTAAGCTTAGGTATTGTGTTGATAAGTGTAATGTTGAAAATAAAAAATGATTGTTTTTAATACTTTTTTTAAGGTTCTTTGTAGATATGAATTTAATTTTATAATATCAAAGGATATATTTCGTGTATTTATTTATCATATATCACATAAAAAAAACATGCTGCACAGTGTAAATTAAGACGCTGCAAGGGATATGTTATGCGGTGACAGACAGACACAATGGAAAGGATGGCTCGAAACAAAGGTCAACTGGGCCTTATATATACAGACTGCCATCCCCAGTCCGATCTGTCTCTGTCGCCGCTTTAATTTGACTTTAATGAAAACGTGGCAAGGCGAACACTTTTGGGATGCAGACATTTTACGTGGACGTAAGCATGGATGTGGATGTGGACATGTCCTCAGCTGCTTATCATGGGGGCCAGCAAACAAAACAAACTGTACATCAACCGAGGCCGAGAGACCGAAAGACCGAGAGTGCCACAGCCAAGAGCAACACGCAACCAAGAGCAACAGCAACAGCAGCGTCTTCAACGGCATGCCAAAGTCTCAGTTTTAGCCAGGCCAAAACCAAAACCAAAAGCAACCAAAGTCCGAATCGAAGACGACGTTTGCTCGGTCCATATGCGGAAACGCAATTTTGTCGTTATTTATGGACCTTGCCGCACATGCAACATGCACGCCGGCCAAACGAACCAGCGATGTTGCTGCTGTGTCCGTTGATGTTGCTGTTGCTGCAGCGGCAGCATCCTCCGCTATAACAGGATGGGACGTTGGCATTAGAAGAATGCACTGCGAAAGAACAATTTCGGAACAAAATTCTTGGTTCAATTCAAGAACATTTTTACCATAAAGTAATATAAATGAGTCATAAAGATAAATAAAATAATGTCCATCTTTTCTTAAGTTTTGTTTTGTTTTTTTGTGGTATTTTACATTATTATCTAGGTTTTCTAATCATTTGTTCAATATCTCTCTTTATAAAGTCCTTTAAGAAATTAATTTTTAAAATAATAATTCTTGGTTCTCAGTTTTTTGCTCTTTAAAATAAATTTGATTTCCCCTTCTAAGTTCCTAATCTAATAAAACCCTGAATTAAGTCTACTAAAAATTCTATTAACTGATAAAATCAAATCAAGAATCTATATTCAGTTTTTTCCTGTGTAAGAATATAGGAGGAGGCTGAGGAGGAGTCTGATGTGGCTGCAGATGCAGATGCGATGGCGATGGCGTTGCAGATGTCCGAGTGGCCAACGATCCAAACGATCCGCGTGGCAAGGCGATCCATGCAGATGACGATGACTTAGTTGCCATGGTCCGAGGCGGCACCTTGCTCAAGGAGGCTGCGCTTGCATCTCACCTAACGCTAACGGTTCTCTATTAGATTAATTTATATTCAAATTTTTATTACCCGCGCATACCACCGCTCGACGTCGACTGCTCTGAAATGAATTGCCAAGCGGATCGGTGGCGGATGGAGGATGAAGATGAGGGTTTCCGTGGAGGAGCCTGGTGCTGGATCTGGGTGTTATTAGCTCGCCTACTTGCACATTCGATGCACGCCAGAATGCCAAAGTTGCTGTTGTTGCTGTTGTTGCTGTTGCAGGGGCAGCAATAACGTATAGAAGAAACAGTTACAACGGAAGCTGTCATTCCACTGGGGGAATGGAGGATGGAGCATGGAGTTTGGAGCTTGGGGATTGGGGAATGGGCATGTATGAGGACTCCGGCCTGAACTCAATGTTTGGTTAATGGAAGGGGAAAAGCCAGAATGCGCTGGCGTTGCTATTGGTATTGCCGTTGCTGCTGCTGCTGCTGTTGCTGCAGCAATGTTGCTGCCGTTGCCGGTTGGCCTATCGCAATAATTAACAGTAAAATGCGCGCGGCAAGAGCGGTTAATTCAAATGCATGAGAAATGCAAATGACAAACATTGATTTGAAAGGACCACGACTCAAGGGGGATTCAAACCGAGTCGAAACTAAAACTCTGCTGTCCCCAATTAAGATGTTGATGTGGTAACCAACCGCAGCAGCAGCAGCAACTCAAATCTCCAGCTGCAACTGGCCGCCATGACGAAGGCAATTAGTCGAGATTTATGTTGCCGATAGAACAGCGCTCAGTGAATAGTTGAGTGGGCTGGACTCTGGGTTAAGGATATTAACCGGAACATAGGCTCAACAGTAGATATAAGATCTTACTGAATATTTGAGAGACGCTTTTAGGCGATTCTTAAAGTTCGCATTTTATTTTAGGTGAATGTTAGATAGAGAAAGTTCTAGTTCTTATATGATACTTGCTAAAACTTTTACAATCCTCACTTTTTTTTTGGTTTAAATCTATAAAACGTGGTCTTGAGTTGCAGACTGATTTTTTCTTTAGATTTCCATCACTTTTTCTATGTAAATTCAGTGAGTGCAAGCTTAAGAAGTATTTCTTCTAAGTTATATATGTTTAACACTAATAAATTGGAACCAAATTAGGTTATAAAATGATTGAATGTATTATTAAACTTCAAACCCTACTTAAATATATTATTTTCATATTCATACAACGTTCCTTATATAAATTCTTATCAGCATGTGGGATTGATTGAATTCAATACGATTTTTCGATATTCCAAAAAGTTTATAAATACAATGTAGCGAACCATTCAAATAAGTATTCTTTTTGCATCCCTACTTTGAACCCTTTCAATTTAGCCACTAATTAAGGGGCACAGCTCAATGGAATTTGAGCACAATACCGAAGCACTTGGCAGTGGACCAAGAGCAACCCTTCCTTTCCCATAGCTACCCCATTGCTACTCATTAGGTCAAACGCCCCTTGTGGGCAATTACTCACCTCTGCAGATGCTCCTCGACTCCCGCTGGCAAGGCGCCGTCGGCCACAATGTAGACGGGCTGTCCGCCGGCTCCGGTGGTGGTGGCATACGGCAGGCCCGCCTGGACCACCACTTGGCCATCGGACACCAGACTGCTGATGTCGCCGCCCGAGTAGAGCTCCAGGCCCTTCTGGTCCGTGGTGGAGTAGATCACCGTCTTGCTGCCGTCGTTGTAGATCAAATCTATGTGCTTATCGGCTTGATATAGGTCGGGATCGAGTTTTTGAGGTACCGCCAAATGGGGCAGTTGCTTCACATTCACATTCACGCCATTCGGATCCGAGGTGGTGTAGATAATGGAACCCCCGGCTGCAGCTGCGGCAGCCGCATGCTTCTTGTGATCCTCGTAGATGTCAGCCTCCGTCTTGATCACATTCGAGTCGTTGCCCCCGCTGTAGTGCAGCACAGAGGCGTCCAGCGGCAGGGGGGATGTCTGATACACCGCCTGCCCATGGTCGTTGTTCATCTTCTGGGCCTGATTGTACATGGCCGTGGCCACCGCATTATCATTCGGCATCAGCTTGGAGGGATCGCTGACGATCCGGGTGAGAATGTGCTCGCCAGCCTCGTTTCGCGACAGGATGTGATGCTCCCCGTTGATGATCTCCCGCGAGATGATCTGCTGCTGCTCGCCATTTGGTCCCACAACCCGGATTATCTGGTTCTCATCGAATTCGATCTTGGCCAGCGGCTGGTGTTCCGCCTGCTGCTGCTGCTGTTGTTGCTGTTGCTGCTGCTGCTGTTGTGCCTGGTTGCCCATTTGGGCCGCAATCCGAGCATCGATGGCATGACCTTCATCCGAATTATTGCCATCCGGTGGCATGACCACCTTAGGCGTCTCGTAGATAAAGACCGCCTCCTTGTCGTACAACTTGGAGTTGTCCGTGTGCAGATCCAGGACATTCACATTCGTCATGGTGGCCAATTCCGGCTGCGGTGAGTCCGGCGATCGGTGCATTGTGGTCAGGAGGGGCACTCCGTTGGGCGCCAGTGGAGAGGTGTTGTTGTTGCCCCCGCCGCCGCTGCCACTGCCCTGCTGGATGGGCGAAAGGGAGGCGTCGCTGAGGATTCCCACACCTACGCCGAGGCGATTGTGGCTGTGGTGGTGCAGTTGGTGGGCGTGGCCGTGACCGTGGGCGTGGCCGGACAGCGAGAGCTCGTTGGACGTGATTACGCTCGTTGTGGCGGTGGATGTGGACATTATACGTGGTAGCTTCGGCTTACTGAACTAATTTGAACTGGATTCCGGATTGCACTAGGACTTGGTCGTGGTCTGATCATCGATGCCGTGATCCCCTGTGGTTGTTGCTATTGCTGGCAAGTATAAACATAATAAATATCACTTGTGTGTATCAACGGTTTGATGGAAGGCACTTTGTGGTTGAGTTCTATTCGTTCGATTTATGTAGCTCCGGTTCCGGATGGTTTAGTCGTTCTTCGTTATTCGTTGTTTCAATTACCGCATTCTATGGCACTAAGGAACTTCCTTCGATTCGTTCTCAGCTCAGCTGCAATTAGACGGAGAAGAAACGAAACAATGGTCATAATTAGTATAGCAGGTGGGAAAGCTAGATAGAGATTTAGCCTAGTTTAGTTTGTGAAGTGGATGAAAGCCAAGGCTGAAGAGCTGTTTCCAACAACAAAAGAAAGGTGTAAAGTGTTGCTTAGCTAATTAAAATATTTAGCAACTAAGAAATAAAAAAAATAATAATAAAAAATATAAAAAAAAAAAAAAAATAAATAAAATAATTGAACTTCATATTCACTCCAAAAAAATATTAAAAATAAATGAATTACTGATAAACTTGTTTAAGTTTACTGCTAAAATTTCTGAATAGTTTCTAATACAAAATATAAAAATTTTTGCAATTATACAAAATGCAAAATCAATATTATTTCTAAACTTTCAAAAAATACTTTCTTTTCGAAAATTGCAGCTTTTTAAAGGCTTACGACACACTTATATAAAGAAAAGTCTGAAAATACAAATGATTGCATTTTTTTAATAACTTAAAATGCACGAAAAGTAATTTTAATTTTAATAGCTTCGTTGGAAGTAATCAACACGTTTTCGGGGTGGTCTGACCCATCAGTTAAAGCCCTGTAAATACAGTGTGAATCATGGGCTATGCTATAAGGTGTTTTCCAATTGGCAAGGCCCCTCTCCCTCCCCCGCCAATAACCGATGAGGCAGTAAAAAGGCAGCAAAAGCAACAATAAAAGTGGCAGAGTGTCTGGCGGCAGTCTGCTTGGCGCCCCTGGGCTCCCCTCCCCCCGAAGTCCCCCCCCTGCAATGCAGTCCGCACACACCCCCATCACACACACTACAACAAAAAAGGCAAACATAAACGGAAGAGCCAGCGGAACGGGTTCAAACGATGAGCGATTTGCAAGCACACACCAAACAGACCAGCCAACAAACAAACAAACAAAAGGGGGCAAACACAAAACACGAAATTGGAAAACGGAAAAAAATAAATAAGCCGACTTGGCCTGCACACACGTGCCCGTCGAACTAGTTTGACTCCTTCGCAAATGTCAAACGTGTAACTGCATAACTCAACGCGGTTCATCACATCGGCAAAACAACAAAACAGCAAAACAACAAAGTAACAAAAGCAACAAAACAGGTGGAAGAAGCGTCGCTGCCACCGTCGCTCTGCCGACGTCAACTGAGACGCCAACTTCTCAGCCATATTTGTGTTTTGTTTACAACGGGGCTTTGTGTGAAAATTAAACACAGAGTACTACCGCTGCATGGCTCAAACAAAATAAAAAACAGAAAGAAAAAAAAAACCAGTCAGTCCATCAGCTGTTAATAGTCCAGAATCTGCGAGTTAGCAAAACATGTTTATGAGGGATTTTGAAACCGAAACCGAAACTGAAACTGAACTGAACCGAAACCGAACAAAACAACATCGACAACAAGTTGAGAACAGGTACTACTCTCCACCATCCGCCATCAAGCATCTACCATCCACACCATATACACCTCATGCCAAACACACCGGTAGCAGTAGCAGCGTCTCAATCCTTGACCTAATCCAGAAGGCTGACTTTCTGGTTCCACTTCCACGCCTTGCCCAGGTTCAGGTCCAGGTTCAGGCCGAGACTCAGATTCAGGTCCAGCTACAGGTACAGGTACAGGTCCAGTTCCCAGTTCCCCCATACATATTGTTGTTTGATGATAAAGCCAAAAAAAAATTACGAATGCTGCCGCTGCTGCCGCAGAGTTCACTGCTGGGATGTGGATGTGGATGTTGTGGATAAACCCGTTTTGTCAGCCCAAGCCGGCGAGTTCAACCCGACGATCTCGGGGGCTCCTCGGGCCCGGTCTGCGGGTTCCGTTAGTAGGTGAGGTCAGTGTCATGCGGCGGCGTGTGTCTGCCTTATAGACAGACTAGTTTTTGGCACAGACCAACATCAACATCAAAATCAAAAACGATTACCCACCATCAACTGGAGAAGAAAGTCGAAAGGCAATTAGGAAACAATTAAACCAACATCAACACCCCGGCCAGCAAGTGATCCCATCGCACATCCATCCATCGAACTGGGTCAGATATATGACCATCGAAAGACCCTCGGGGCTTTGCAGCCCGAACCAAAACTTTCCAACTTGCCGCTTGAATGGTGGAGAATGGCAATGGACCTGGCAGATAGATGGATTCTGGCCAAGACCCATCACTCATACGGTGGGTGCAAAAGAAATCAGCAACAAGAAAAGTAGCTGCTGGTATAGATTATGCCCACAAAAGGGAAGCGATGAAGAGAAGATAATCCCAATTAATCTCACAGAAGAGATTTGTGGGGGGCAGTATAGAAACTTTCTTAAAGAAAATACTTTGTATTTTAAATGTCCACCCGGGGGCGCCAATTTTATAAAATCTTCAAATTGTAACAAATAGCCGGAAATAAATGTATACCGATGCAAATAAGATTTGACCAATTTAAATTACTTTTTTTCTCCCACTCCCACATAAAATAATTTAAAAGTACGTTTGATTGCGTAAGATTTACAGCTATTCGATCATCATAACAAGTCGTCCAACACAAGTGTAATGATAGGAAATTAATGGGCAATTACTGTATTGATTGGCTAAACAATAAATCGTAAATCAAGTTCAAACTAAATAGAAAACTTTTTCTATCTTAGCACAGACAGATTTACGGCAATATTGAATCACTATAAGGAAATCCTTTGTGGCGAAAGCAATTTACATATTTATAACTATTGCACCTTGAAATATTTAAATTTGCAGTTGGTTTTCCTTGAAGCTGCGTAGATAGTGATTTATAATTACTAAGATCAGAAATAGTAGTGTCGAAACAAATAAACTAGCATATACCTAAATTAAACTAATATTTCCAAACATTTTAATTTTGTGACAAGAAGTGTCCACCTACTTTGGCTTCCTGGGTTTTAGAGATCTTGAAAAGTCATTGATATGTTTACTATGCACAGTAAATGAACCTTCCCCCAAAACAATCATTACTAATTTTCTTCGATTATATCGACTGGAATCACCACATGTGAACGTAAACCCCAGATCTAACCTTTGCATGCAGACAACGCCTACAACAAGATCTATGGGTATTCGTTCTTTATTATCCCCCATTCCCCCTGATCACCTTTCCCCCCCTAATACCACCGATTTAAGATACACAGTGAATACCAAAAGCAATTCTATTTCAAATCCCATTAAGATTTGACATAATTTGAAATTTGGATTTTACGTCTCTCTACCTTACTTAGGGAGAATGGTGGGGCGAAGGAGAAGAGAAGAGCGGAGAAGTGGAGAAAAGACAAGAGAAGAAATGCGCAGCGTAACCCTAAGACATCAACGGTCAGAGCATCAATAACCAAAGCCAAAGACTGAGACTGGGAGTTGGTAGATGGTACACGGAAAGAAATGTTATATAAATGTTTTAAAAATTGTAATTAAAATAGTGAATTGAAAGAATGTAACTACATCATTATCGTAACTTTGAAGAAAGATCACATCATATTTACCTTAATAACTAATTATTATTATTATTTTAAATAAGAAAAATAAGTTGTACGATCGAGATAGCATTTAATAATAAGAATAATGAATTTCTGTATGGGTTATTATTTTATAATCTCCCTAAAAGTTAAAAACTGATTAGATAGTAATTATATAATTAAAATAAAAAAAAAAAAACAAAAATAAAAATAAATAAAAAATAAAAAAATAATATATTAATGATATTTCCTACAATATAAGCTCATAAATGCTTCAATTTCTCCCCGTGTAGATGGGAATGGGAATGTTCAGGGGAATAAAGGCGTGCAAGAAGTGGGAGGGGGTGAAGAGGTGTGTCGAGGGGTGGGGAACGGCTGCAAGACGGAGTCAAGAAGGCCCGAAGAAACGAAGAAAGGCTAAAGAAAAGAAAAACAATAAACGTTAACACGAACACGAAAATAAAATAACTCTCTCACGAAGTTCCCCCTTTTTTTGTGTGTGGGTTACATGTGCCGCTGTGTTCGTGTGTATCTCACGGCTGAATGTATCTGTGTGTCTGTCCGCCGGTGAGAAGGTGTGTGTGTGCTGCGTAGATGTTCATTTTACTGTACCATAATCGCAGCCCCAAATTGATCACCATCATCAAAGAAGGGAAAAAATCAAAAAAATAAAAATCATAATAAAAAGAAGCCGAGAACACAAGAGCAAAAGAGCAAAAGGCAGCACAAAAGTCCAGGGGAAAACGTAATCACAAACACTGGGCAACATCATCGATTTTCGAACAAGAAGGCGTCGCAGTCGCCGTCGACGCTGACGTCGGCAGAGGCAGACCAGAGGCGTCTCTTGATCCCTTCTCGCTCCCGCTCTTTATGGCCAACTCTCCCGCTCTAGCTCGGCATTATTGTTGGCAACACAACACAGCCCAACGGCAATATAACAGCAACACCAATACCTGTGCGCCTTACCTGCCGCTGCCGCTGCGCAGCGGCCACTTCGAAATACGAAATACAAAATAAAACCAAACAAAGAGGAATGTGTGCGCGAAAGATACCACCAACAACACAACATCAGCAGCAGGAACAACAACAACGGCAACGACAACGGCAACAAAAACAGCAACAACAACAGCTACAACAAAAATTGAGGCTGGGACCAAAGAGTCTTAGGCTACGTCTGCACAACATACAGGGTGTCCACTGTAGACGAAGGCTTTCCAAAGAACACTGGCCAACACGGAATTAAAAAGAGTCCAATTTATACTATTTTGTATTTGAAGACACCAAAACAAAACTTCAACAATACTAAGAAAAAAATATTTTTCGAGATTTAATTTACATTTCGTTTATTTAAAGACGTCCTTTGGAAACGAAAATTTTTCCAATAAAATAATGTATAAAATATTTTTCGAGATTTAATTTACATTTCGTTTATTTAAAGACGTCCTTTGGAAACGAAAATTTTCCGAATAACATATAATATCTGTTATGGATTATCTTTTAAGTTATGTTTATATA